TTATCCCATCAAACTCCCTAGAATCTAGAGCCCTGAACAGACACATTGATTCTCTACACATTTTAAGGGAAGAGATACACGAGGACATATCTTCTACAAACGACAAGAAGTCAACGAAAACCTTTATGTGGAATTTCCCGCCTTTCTTTTCAAGGGTGAGCAATCAGATTACTTTCAGTCTCTAAAAACATCTTTTATTTAACCACAAAAATACAGGTCAAGAGGCCACGAGAAAGAATGGTGCTCTTGAATAACTAGTACAATACTTCTCTCAATCAACATTGACCCAGAATAGCATTAGAAACCACTGTCAGGATAAGAGAAAACTGACAGAAAGACCTGAAGCACAAAACTGTGCATTGAAATTTTGCAGATTTTACCTCCAGTTCTGCATTCGCTCCAAAGCCTGTACCCTGTGGACTTATCACTAAACAGTATGAAATGCAATACTAATAATACAAGTTTCAAATTGTACTTCAAGATGGCAAACCCTGCACTGTACACATTCTGCTGTACATGAATAGTGATAAATTTCTTATCTAGCGTAGCTTGAAAAATCAGGTTAACTATTCTAAAAGACCATCTATTGCACTTTAAAATGCCACAATAATTGTAATTTGAAATCAAAGCCAAATGCCATGCATATACAACAACAATGTAAATGCACATTTTGGGGACAGATATTCATCCTATAAAAATTTCACTGACAGGGACAGTCTGTATCTGCTTGTGTAGATAGAATAACAAGTCACAGAGTTTTCAATTAACTGTATGTTTCATTTTTGCTTTTGTTAAAGAGGTCGTGGATGGCAGCAGAGAGGAAAACTGCTGGCTGTGCTTCAGCTAAAAGAAAGATGAAGCTGGCTCGTTCCCCAAGATTGAACAGGGAATCTTGGTTTGGAAAGCCCTCTCACATGCAGAGTGGGGAGAGGGACTAGCAAGAAGGGAGGCTGCTGGAACAGTGCTGGCTGGGAGACTCTAGGGAGGAAAAGAGAGTTTGTCTAAAGTAGGACACAGGTCTACAGTGCAGGCTCAGATGATCCGCAGAAAGTTTCCTAGAAGCCCAGAGAACTGTATGGAAGGTGTTTGAATCAGAAAGCCAGCAAAGGTTGCTGGAGCAGATTGCAAGGAAACAATTTGTCCTACAAAGATGCTGTTTACAGGAGACTGATTTATTTTTAAGCGTTTCTGGCCTGCCCAGCTGATCCAAGTTTCCTCTATTTAAAGAAAAACCCCTTATCGTAAGTTAGTAATTTTTTGACATCACTCCAACAAAGTGTGGTTCTAGAGACTAGAAGCCTGTAGATGCGCTCACTGTAGGGAAGGCAGTGGGACAGCTCCAGCGCTGGCCTGACTGGCAGACTGCCACAGCACTGCCAGATGCAGCAGGTCTGCAGGTAATCCTCAAGCTAAAAATGAGATTGCTGGGGGAGGAGGAGAATAATGCCATATCCTCAAGTTAAGCCACCTATATAGCACTGAGGGACACAGAAGGGTGGGTTTGTTACTCTATTTTTTCCCCTTGTTTTGAAAGAGGGAGAAAGAAAGAGAAAGGAAGAAGGAAGGAACATGGGAATGACATAACAGCACAGACGTCATTGACAAAGTTCTTGGGGGAGCTGTGGGACAACAGTGAATCTTTGAATGTAACTGAACAATCAAAGGCAAAAAACCCCGTAATTTCTGGCCAATTCAGAGGCCTCTGGTAGGGCTGGGGGGACCTCCATGGAGGAGCTTAGCAGAGACAGAACCTGCTTCAAGGACGGAAAACAAGCACACTTGGTTGAAAGGCAAGGAAGCCAGACCTCCCAAAATGCTTACGAAGAATGCGCAAAGAAGCAGGAAGATGCTGGGGTACAAGAGAGGCACAGAGGCGTTGTGCAGCTTAGACTGCCAAAACCCAAGAAGAACAAAACAGGCAGTATCAGCAGGGGGGCTCTTCAGACCCACAGCACCACCTCCCTCAGCTGTGCAACTGCTGGGAGAGAGAAAAGGCTGATAAACCTTCCCATGGGGTGCACTCTTGGAAAGCAACATAAGAGTGGGCATTATTTCATGCAGACAAGGGTCCTGAAAGGCAAGCACACAACGACTGTGGTCTGAACAGGACCAGGAATGCAGCTGGGCAGTATGCCCAAGGAGGGAAAACTGGGTGCTGGATTAGCTAGTGCCAGTACTAAGTTGGCCAAGTTTACCATATCTTTGTGTGAGTGTGGTTTAATTTTGGGAAGCAGAAAGACAAATATGTCCGCTGTCTTGGCCTAGAGACACATGGCACAATGCAAAAGACATGGACCATGCCTGAAACGAAACCCAGGAAGACAACCTCGGTTATGAGGATGGCTCAGATAAATTATAAGAGAAGCTTGGCACCAACCTTTAGTAATACAACAACACCCTTGATAGATCTGTGTGAAAAACAAACCAGACTGCTAATTTCAATGAAGTCTAGAGAGGAACTTCGGGTCATTTAAAAAAAGGGTCTTTTTGTTTGTTTAGTAGTTCAGTACAGGTGAGTTTGGATTTTAGCAAGATTTCTGATATATTTGCCAGATGCTTCAACACTGATTTATGGCCTGCTTGGCAGCTGCAGAAAGAATATTTCATTTTCTGGCAGATTTGAGTACAAATTTGTCAGCCAGGAATGGAACCACAGCACCACTGAGAAGAAAAACCTACAGATGCATTTAAAAAAATTAAAACCAATTCTACTTATGTAATTTTACTATATATACAGTAGAATGATTCACCTTTAAAAAAGGTTATCTTAAAGGGGAAATTCCAGTCCATGAGGTAGAGTTTCTTACTGCAAGAATATGATGCAGAAACAAAAACTGTAAGGAAGTAAGACAACCAGGATGTTGATTCTGCTTAGGCAGAAAGATGTTTGAGTGACTAACCTCAAAGAGCTCCTTTTGAGTCCTCCTTTCCTTAACAACAGCTAAGGCATCTTAGAACACATGAACTGTAATATTCACAAAAAAGGGCTACCTACAACATGAGCTGAAATCTTGACAACTCCAGCTGAAAATCAGATCTATGAGACACTCTATTTGCTAAAAAATATTGAGGAACAAGAGAAATAATGACCATTATTACTGTTTCTTTGAAGTTCAATGATGAAAGCCAAAGAAAGAACATGTAAACATCCCAGCTGAAATGGTTGAGGAATTCTAGTCATAACTTCCCTGTCTTATTGGCATGTTTGGACTTATTTTAAACTGCAGCAAATTTGTGTTGCGGTTATGAAGCATAAATAAATCTAATAAAATATTAAGATGTTGAGGGTGTGCAAGCTTATTATCCATAATTTACCAAGTATTTTGAATGGCACATCATATTAAGACAGCTCAATTTCACATGTAGAGCCTTACTTTCCTAAATTAAACTTGCATATTTGGGAAGGAAATAAAGCTTTCAATTAAAAAGTAATAATCAGAGCACAGAAAATGCAACCGTATAAAGTCTAATTCATGGCACTACAAACCACGTTTGTACTCTGTAAATTCAACTGTAAAGAGTTTTTGTCATGTCAATAAGTAGGGATAAGAGATTAGAGAAGATAACTCAGCATGAATGCAGTTTGTGAACCCTGTAGAGGAAGTCCCACAAATAAAGGAACAAGATGTTAAATAACAGAGACTATAACATGCTGTAGATGGAATGTAGAGTTGGGATCATGAGAGGAAAAAAAAAGGTCTATTATTAATCCAGATTAGATGGCCTGGTATACTTGCTTCAGCAGTAAATTCTACTTTAAAATCCCTAGAAAACAACAAAAAACCACAAAGAACACATACGCAGCATCCTGCTTCCTGAAAGCTGAACACAATACATTGAACAAATCTAATTTCATGTCAATTTTATCAACTACAACACGAGCAAAAGCTGAACAAGCAGGCTGGTCTTGCAGGTGAAATACCAGCCTTGTGTCCAATCCCTGGGCAATCACAGCAGGTTTACACTATCCAGCAACCTCCACCTCTATCTGCTTTACAATGTTTTGCCAGTGAAGTCTGTCTAGTTCATATAATATGTGAGGGGAGTGATTGCCTTGTTTCAACAACTTGCAGAGCACTGCTATAATGAAGCATTAACCCTGAGATAGCACTGGATACCAAAAAAAGAAAAAAAAAGCATTATGATTAAAATGTCTATTTGTGGAATTCTGTAATTAAAAGCAGAGGAGGAGAAGTATGCTGTAATGATGACAAATTAACAAGTTAGCAAAAAGGAATTAAAAAGTATGCTCTTAATGTACAGAAGTAGAAATAATTCTGTCATGACTGCTGAAACAGTTCAAAACGGAGGAAGTGATTGTTTTTCAAAGACAGAACATGAAAATAGAAGTTCAGCGATCCACAGTGTTTGGATGAATTTCAGCTAAAAAAAATCAAACGAAAACCTAATCAAAATGAAAGAACTCCAAAACCCCAAGATGTTTGCTTACCATACCATCAGAACTCAAGGGCAACAATGATTTATGTAAATTATTGTCTCCTTCCTTAACTGCATACACGTTTGTACATCAAGCACCTCCAAGTTCTCTTACTGGAGCTACTAATCTGCCCAGTAAACTCCTCTAATCATCTTAAAATTTTTGTGATTTGTCACTTCCTGACCCCAAAATTACTTGCAATAGATAATCTGAGGATCAGAAGTGGCTGCTCTGCTTAGGTCCTCGATCTGGAAGATGCAAGTGCTACTGCCAGCCTAGGAATGAAGTGCTAAAGCAGAATAAAGCCATTGCTTTACTTATGGAGACTACAGTATGACAGATCATGAAACACTGCATGATGTTTAATTAATTTAACAATTCCTTGCAATATAGCACTAAGCTGTCACACAAAATGTCAAGACACGTTAGAGAAAGAATTAAAGAAACTGTGTTAGAAATGTGAGAATAATTGTTTTCATTGTGCTCATTCTGCTGCAAACAGGGGAAAAAAAAAAAAAAACCCAAGCCCACAGAACATATAGATTGTTTGTAAAGAACATACCTATTAACTCCTTATTTCTGACATCTAAGGCCATGTTTCGTAAAGCTGTAGCAACTGCACATACCACCCGGTCATTGTCTATTCGAAGCAGTTCCACCAGGATTGGCAATCCTTTTTCTTTGCGGACAGCAGCGCGGATATACACTGACCACTGTAAAGACACATGGGAGAGCGTGAAGAAGAAAGCGAGAAATCCCCTACAGAAAGCAAGGCATCTGACGTTATAACAGATACAGAGGAAGTGGTAACAAAAGCATGTTGATGCAAACTGAAAAAAGGGGAAATAATTACATTTATGGTGCCAGGTAACCACTTGATTTGGAAATCTGCACAAATTTCTTACGGTGGCAGAGAAATTACATGATGGATTGACTTTACTCCTAGCACACCTGGTTACATTTTTGCAGCCCAAGTCTGCAGATGACTCGCTTTGCATCAGCATTTCCTATGCAACACCTGATGATGCTTGTTCACTGCTAAACCAACAAAATTTATATTACAAAACATATATTACAAAACATGTTCAAGAGGTCTGAGTATTTCTTTATTATTACCATAAGAACTATTCAGTCTAAAAAAATGAAAATGCTGTTGTAATTTCTCCTGTGATTGTCAACTTGTTCAGAAGGAAAAATAAGGACATCTATATGCCTGTTTTGGCACCTGTAGTGGTTCTAACTGGAAGACTACTGTATATGGAGGAGTTCTAACTTATTCACACAAGAGTTGACCTGAGGGAAGCGCAGCCTGTGCCATGCTATGCTGCGTGTGCCATGTGGCTGCAGGATAACCCTAGTGGCTGTTTGAATTGGAGAAGCCTGTAGGCATCTCCCATTTGGCAGCTGGTCATGACACCACTGGCATGCCCTTGTCTTTATCACTAAGTGAAGCAGCATGTTCTCATGTGAGAATCCTTTTTGTTTGACAGTAGAAATTATAAATCGAGTTGTTTACTTCTAAGAAAATCCTCTAAGAGCTCTAAAGACTATCATGCCACTGAATCTCTCCACAGATGGGATCTGTGCAGCATGCTGTGACTAGGAGGTTCATCCAGTGCTGCACAACTTGGGGTTCCCAGCACCTGAAGGGATGAAAGATTAACTATACTATTGTCTTCTTCACTCCACTATTAGCTTCACAAGTTGGAAAAAAAATGTAAACAAGACCAAAACTGGACCTTGTGATTTTAACATCTATGGGAATTGCCAAATTTCAGATGTTGGGACACCTGCAGGATGCACAGGACGGTCTTCTCAGCACAGCCCACTTCAAAACAAGCCATCTACTAGACATATATTCCTTCCCACATTTTGAATTCTTCTCTGGAATTTTAACAAAGTTCCCATTCATGTTCCTTGTACTGATAGTTGAAAGCAATTTATTGAAGCAGAGCTTCTCCCTCCTTTCAGTGCAATGGCATGGATGCTTAT